CTCCCTGTGGTTATACAAAGTTTTTATTTATTTTGGTGAATAATTTTGCCATGTAAAAACATTTACGTACTAATATTATAAAATCGCATTAGTATATATTTTGAATATTTGGTTGTTAGTTTAAACATCAATATCCACATGTATTGTCTGATCAAGGCTAATATTTTTTTATATCTACGATGGCCAGTTCGTCGAAATATCTTTTAACCGTATATACCAACGATTGATACCGTGACATAGCTGGGCCAGCCGTGGCAATTTCGCATCGGTCACAAATTGTATCATATAAAACAATAAAATTGTCATGACTGGGCCAGTCTAATCATGACACAGTATCTTAATATTTAAGGGTAGACCACTGAAAAGTTCGGGGTGAGGACAACATGATATCTACGCTGATAAAAATATAGAAAAAAAAATGATATACAGCATAGTCATCCAAATTTACACAATACTTGGAGTAAGAATAATTTGTTATGTATTTAAGTTTATTTACATGCTTAGATTTCCGTCCATCACACAAAAGTAAATTGCAAGATAATCAGTGTGACATTCCAAATGACCTATCAAAACGTTCTTGTATCTTGAAAAGATTTATAAACATAAATTGATAAATTAAATATTGTTTATCGGCAGTTTTTGAAACAAGTATTACAAAACATTTTTCGTTAGCAGGAAATATTCTGAAACAGTTATTCCGCATAGCTAGCCTTTGCCATCGTTGCCACCCCGGTATTTTTGAATTGTCAATCCTACTTATACGCGGTTTACTCAATTTTATTAAAATCTGATGTATTATACGCCGTGTTTGTACCATGTTTAATTGTATTATTTGTAATTATTTTTATTACAAACATCTGTTTTTGTATTATTTTAACTACCACGGGCTTTCGTGGTTCAACAAATTATCTGCAAATTTGAATTAAAATAAAATACATGACAAACAAATAATTACATACATATTTTTAAAAATGAAACATTTTAATCATTGTGCATATACAAAATAGGAATTTATTTTGCACAAAAAAGTCAGTAATCCTGAAGCAGAAGATAAAGATAATGTCAGTGTTTTTTTGTTTCTGTTTTTTTAAATTGTTGGGATTATCATATTTACGAAGTTTAGATCATTTTATCGTTCGTATGACATTCAATATGATCGTTTATCATTGTAATGTGACCTTATAATTATCTTATCGTTTTAAATAGAACGCAAAATAGATATGACACGTGTTTCGTGATTCTAGTTTATTTGACCCCAAAATAATTCAGAAATACACTTTTTTTTATTCTTGAAGCAGCACGGATCTGACAAAACTCGGGCCGAGTAATTTCATAAATGACCCCAAGATATTGCGCGCTAGTCCCATATTGTCATAGGGTTGGCCATACGGTCGTCGTCAGTTGCAAAGTTTTAGATATGCTCCATTTCTGCTACTCATATATTCGATATTTTAGAACCCAGAACGTCGCATGTCGTGATAGACTGTGCTAGCAATATAGTAACATTTCCTGGCAAGTTTATAGCCTAGACCAGCAGAGCAAAAACAAAACAAAAGACGTGCCACTTCCTAGGGATAAATGTGCAGCCATGTACTTGAAGACAGGGGACGGAGATGTTTACATATAACTGAAAAAGTTGAAACTGGAATAACGTACCTAGGTGTGTACGTCTCCTTGATGGTAAATGATTTAAACCAAGCCAGGATGTTGAGGCGGCCATCTCGTCGGCTACCAGAAACAATATGACCAAACAATGTCTCGACGTGAGAAACACATAGTATATATATATATATATATATATATATATTACTTGAATTATCTACTATATTTGGTTTTATTATATACCGTGTGCAATGTTCTATCATTGCCAGTGGTGCAAAATTGTTGATTGGGAAATTTTAGTAATCTTCAAATACTTGTTATTACACCAAACTTTTAGGTCGATGTAAGAGATAAAGTGATTCACGAGATTCTTTACAGAATTTGGTCTATTCCATGGTTACGTCCAAGGACATACTTTTCAGCCATGAGGTCGATGTACGTAAATACTGAAAGTGTTTGGCCCACACATCGCCATTTTTAGTGTAGAATGTGTTTTACCTACCTTTAACGCAGTCGCCACGTTTTCAAACGTTTTTGTTGTATATATATATATATCAGAGCGTGAAATGGAAATTACCCAAAACAGCGGAAAACTAAACCATATCCTAAAGATATACAGATAATGAGATATGACAAGAACAAACAAAAACATTCATGGACAGCAGACTATTCATAGACTGACTTAACGGGGGAATTATCGCTGAATAAAGCACCACCAACAAAATGTCGTTTTCATAACGATACGACAATGCAAACAACAAACCAAACTACATATAGTCTGAGTAGCAGTCTAATCTGAGTTTAGTAGATCAGTAAAATAGTTGTACACAGAAAACACGTAAAAATAGTCAAAGAAGACTCCGGAAGATAACGTTGTCCCTCAAAATCGTTATTTGTAATCCCCGAAGAGTGATGTTCTTCACATAGAAGACAGCAGACGATGTCTCAGTCACGGTTGCAAAAGAAGAACGCAGACGACACATTTAACCTGGCATATACGCTACGCGTAGCACACGAGAAATTAAATGTCGCTTGAAAAACGAAGAAACTACCAAACAACAACGAGAAAAGAGATATTGGCAGACAACTAACACCCAAGAATACAATACAACATACAATCTGAGCATTGATCAAAATAAGAAAAATGGAAAACAATTTGTACTGCCACAGAACCATCAGGAAAGTTTATATCGTGACGTTGAATTAGCCTCGCTTTCGTCTCCAGTGCCCAAATGCATGCTGGGTAATGAGTTTGTTGTTTGCGCGTGAACAGCCTGAGGATAAGGCCAGAATTTGTTTATTCCTTGTTTCTCGAGTTTTTATAAGGCATTTAGTCTAAGGCGGAAAAAATAAAATCAATTTTTTGTTTCCATTGGATTTGTTGAATTCTCAAAGAATTGTAAGTAAGATCATTGATCGGAGAGAAGAAATGAAATAAAATTTTATTCTATGTATAACCGCGAGACTTCGGTACTTTGATCATGATACTCAATGCAACTTGGATTTTTTATGCGGCGCCGGTAAAAACATGAAGATAAAAAAAATATTTTGTTAGCATATTTTTGCGCTTACAAGTCGGCGGACTCAAGAAATTACGCTGAAATAAAATTATATTTTTATTTCATTTTCGGCTTCTGTTCAAGTTGTTTAGGTTAACGTCTCAGTTGGCCACGTCTCTGTATTTTTGTTGCTTGGGTGTCAGTTAGCTGCAAAACTGCAGTTCAATGTGCATGTATCATCACCAGTGATATAAACGCTAACTTCTCGTAAGTAAAGACGAACACGTCACAAAATCGTCACTGGCCTATGTACAAAAAATTATGGCAGTAGTCGTCGCGCCACGCATATGAGAGATATGTGGGTCTCATCATGGAGGTTATATTACGGTGATTAGTGCAAGTCGCGCCCAGGTCAAACCTCATACTTGAAGAGCGCATTAGGTTGTGGGAAAATCAACACAAATTTCGCACAGAATCGAAACAACCACGTCCGTAAGGTGCTGGATCGAATTGTGCGACGTCAACGTGACTATATCGATGTAGCCTGAGTAGGCGTCGAGTATTAGAATTGTCGAGGCACTAGTCATTTGCACTATCCTGTGACCCGTAACTGTTTCTCAATCATGCCATGCTCTTATTCAGTTCGGAAATGTTGCCTGATATACACTGGACATAGTTGGGACAATCCTATACTCCGAGAAATGATGTCGGGCCCTGGTGTCGAGGCTTGTTTTTGAGCAAATCCCTGAAAACCTCTGGCCCATTGTCACATTGTCACTACTGCATGTACTACGTGTGTTTCGGGCCATGTGTATGGGATTCTATGGAGGTTCAAGTTGGCCATGGATTGGAGTATACTGCAATGGACAATCGGATTACCCTTAGCACACATTAACTTAAGTGGGTCAATATAGCCATTTTGTATCGGTC